AGACCCATCCACGGATACGCCTTATCGAGCTTCTAAAAGTGCACGTCTACATTTGCCGGCCACGAACCATTACCATTACCATATGGAAAACCCATGAAGCCCATCCTCATAAAAATCCTCAAAGTCATGAAAATCTTTTTCTTTAAAATACTTCGATCGATATCGAAAACTCATAGCATAAAATACGTTTTCATGACTTAAAACATTATTCATGAGCTTTGGCATGCATATACATTTTGAATGACAATGCATGCTAACAATGATACTCAAGTATATGTCCTAAATGGTTGTGTAACCATGTTATGAAAACATAAATAAAATCGGACATCATAACGATATAAATAACATCAATTCGTATCAAGCGAGTACAATCATCATTGGCGCATCGGTTACCATAACCACAATTCTCATCACCAATCACAACTCAAGCATAACCATCATTCATTAATCATGGCATCACATACATTATTGAAAAGAAAATAAAATCATAACACAAGAGTAAGTAAACAATTATATTTCATTTTAGTTTCATTGATTTACTTTACATTTTAACATTTCTAAGTTATTTCCCTTATGCTCCTAACCACCCTTTCGCATCTAACATTTACCAAATTAGGTACTAATCCATGTTCTAACCTAATTAAGTATTATTCCATTGATTGCGTAGTCCAATTTCGGTTTGGGCCTTAATAGGCCTAAGGTCTAATTTTTCTTAAATCAATTTTTCTTTAGATTTTCATGAACACTTTTATTCTAAACCATCCTTTTATATTATCTTGAGCATGAATGAACTAATTTAGGGTATGGAACTTAAAGAGTGACTTTTAAGTGATCGAGTGAGTTACATGGGTAGGGACACACCCGTGTGAGAGGCCGTGTAACTCTCCGCCTTCAAGAAAAACACATTTCTTCATTACACGGGCAAGGACACACCCGTGTGGAAGGCCGTGTAACCTCTCGCCTTCAAGAAAAACACATTTCTTCATTACCTATTTTCTTCAATTTTTAGCAAAATTTTCATTTCTACTCATCAAAATATGATTATTCAAGTGTGAATGACCCATCAAACTAGAATCAAATTGCTTTGAACTCAAACCCTAATTTGCTTAGTTTAGGTCGGATATAATTCCTAAAAATTAGTAGATTTTTCTTCAATTAAAGTATAATTTTTCCTTTCTAAACATTAATTCATACTCAAATAAGTCGGAATCAAGTGCCAAAACACCAATTAAATGAAAGAATTTAAAACCTCCAAATTGGGTTCCTCAAAAACCATAACCCTAATTTTTCTTAATTCAGCAATTAAATCAAATCAAGCAATTAAACATGAAATTGACTTGAAATTAAGCATGTTTGTGGTGTAGGTGAGGTTAACTTACATGATTAAGCTCCAAATTAACCTTAAAAAGGTAGGTTGCTTGAAAATCCTCTTCCTCTCCTTTTCCCCCTAAACTTGAATTAGCTCTTTTACTTTTCTTCTTGAAGGTATTCAGCTCCCAACTCGAAACTGAAGCTTAATCCACTGATTTAGAGGGTCTAAATTTGGTTAGGATTATTTTAGGTAATTTTTGAGTTGAAATTTTGTAAGAGTTTCCTTTGTGTTTTTCAATTTTTTGTCTCCTTTTTATTTTTCCAGCACCCCTATTTATATGAAATTTTGTGGAATCATTGATCTCATCTCCACCCTTAATTTGGAAAAATCTCAGCCCTTAATTCAATTTCCAATCATTCATTTGCATTTGTCCTAATTTTTAGCCATTTATTCATCTTTTTATTTAACCCTTCCACCTTGCTTATTTTTGGCCATAATTTTTATTGGAAGTCAGACTTAATTAATTCTCTAGGTTGGCCAAAGTTGGAATGAAAATGACAAATTTTGGTTCTCCAAGTTTCTAGACTTTTCCATAGCCTATTCTTTCATAAATCCCTCTTTTATGCAAAAACTTACTTCTAATCCTTCCTTTTTAGTTTTTAGGACTAATTTTTTAACTCTTAACATTCTCACATAATTTAATTTGGATTATTAGACTTTTTAATTTTATGCAATCGAGTCCCTAATTTTATGCAATTTAGTCCCTACTTTTAAAATTCCGTAATATATTCTTCAAAAATCCAATTTATTTTAATAATAAATTCAAATATTTGTTAAGGGATTTTATTTTAAATTTTCATAATTTTTGGACCTCATTTGATCCTCTAAATTAATTATTTAGTGTGAATTCACACCATTGTTTTTTTTATTAAAAATATTCCCTATACTTAATAAAATTAATTTAAATTTTCTAGGAACTCTCACACCTCCCATATGATTATTTTATGCTCTTAAAAAAATTCCTCATACTCTTAAGGTGCCTAATTAAATTCTTTTCCTCTAAAAATACTATTCCAACACATCAAAATTCAAATAAAATATTCATAGCTCATAATAAAATTCACCCAAGTACATAAAATAATTCAACACCCCTCTAACAATTATTCTAAGCACATAAACTATTTTTCATGCTTAAACAACATGCTTTAATTAGTTATTTCATGCAAAAACTACTATTCATGCATCGTAAAATCAATAAAATATTCATTGGGCATAAAATGACTATTTTATCTACTTTGAATATTTTCTCTAATCTTTGTGAACTACTTTATATCTTCAAAATATATCTTATATGTTTTTAAATATTTAATTTTTATTTAATTTTAGTTTTAGCGAGTACCGGTTATTACATAGTAAATGAATAGTGATTTAGAGAGAGTGAACATTAAATGAAAATAGAGAGTGAACGAGTGTGTGCATAGTGTTTTCATTTTGTTTTAGTTGTTTTTTGTCAATTCTTTATATAAAATATTTTTTCTCTTCATTTGCTCTAGTGGTAGTGAGTTTTTTAAACTTGCAACTTTTAAATGAATAGTGAAAATAGAGAGTGAACAGTGTATGCAAAGTATTTTTCATTTTGTTTTAGTTGTTTTTGTCAATTCTTTATATAAAATATTTTTTTCTTTATCTCGCTCTAGTGATAGTGAATTTTTTAAACTTGCGAGAGATCATAGATTCAAATAATTTCTTTAGAGTATTTGATTTTAAAAAAACATCATTATAAAAGAAGGTTAGAGTAGCCTTTCATCTTTATAGTGATGGCCAACTCAATCTTTCGTAGGTCATTTTTGTTGTGGTAATCAATTCAATATATCGTACTAATATGACCCTCTCTTCTACCTTACTAACTATTAACATTAACCTCCTAATGCCTACCAATTGATGTGAGTCGTTTGGTGCCTATCTATGGGAATATACACACACACACATATATATATATATATATATATATATATATATATATATATATATATATATATATATATATATATATATATATATATAATGTTATTTTTTTTATATATTTTCAAAGTTATATATATATAAATTTGATAATTCTAAATATATTATTAAATATACATATTATTGTTGTTTCTAAGACTAAAAAGTGCTAAATATGCGTAAAAAAAATTAAAAAAATATTTAGAATTATGAAAAAAAAGTATAAGTTTAAGGACGTGCGTCGATGACTATATATATATATATTAAAAAAATAACACAATGATATCAAAACCTCATGACAATAATATTTTTTTTAATTCAAATTTATCAACGACCCATAATTTTAAAAATATTTAAATAATATAACATTGAAATGTAAACATACACTAAAATTATTATTTTAAAATATTTTCTTCATTACGTATGGCCTAAATTTACAACAATTTCTTAATAATAATTTATGTTTAATTGTTTGTCAATTCAATATGCATAACTTGAAATTTATTTGTTCTTATTGCAAATTACATGTAGTAGTTTGAAATATATCTCAGCATTCTCAATCAATTTTAAGCATAAATGCATAAATCTTATTGGGTTGTGAAGTTATCCCTATTTAACATATTTAACATTTATAATTTAAGGAATATTTAGTTCTCTAAAATTAAATATGACTGTTCAAAAACTATAAATATTTCGCAACTAATGATTTATTAATTTAATATTAGTAATTCAAAAAATTTATTGATTGCGAGCAAATATCGTTATCTTAAGTTTTGTCGAAACAATTAGCCTAGTCAAATTAAAAGTGTATGTAATTAAAAAAAAACATATCTATCAGTGGCGTGTAATTAAAAAATATTTTTGTTATACTCTTTAACTTTTTAACTTAACCCAGCCAACGACGTCGGTCCTCCTCCCCATCTCCCCACCACACCCCCCCCCCCCCCTCTCTCCTCTCAACTTTCAACTGATAAGCACAGCACCCCTTCAATTCTTTCTTTGACAACTTTTGATTTCTTTTTCCTTTTTTTATTGTTTAAAGAGAGTGGCTGAAGTTCATACATATGTTTTCTGTTGCTTTGTATGAAAGAGATTGATTTTATTATAGAAGAACAGTAGAGGAGACGCTCAGACGCATAGATTTGCTAATGTTTGCATTTGCATATAAAATAAAAGGATCCCTATGCCCGTTGGACACTTCGCTTATAAGCCATGTCCCCGTACCTTGAAATTTAAAAATTGAAAGGCATGTCACTCAGATCTGAATTCCTCCTATACACAACACTAGTAACTCGGTCCAAATAAGAAGTAACATATAGAAAAATTAATAGATGTTTTAATAAGATAATAATCAAGAAGAGTAAAAAGAATAAGTTATAAGCTGTTAAAGAAGATGGAGTAAGCTACAATAGCTTAAAAAAACTTAGGGAATAAAAAATAATTTACTAGAAAGTTTTTTCTGTTCTATTTGGATAGAATTCAGGATTTACAAAAGCGGGCGGTTATATTTTTCAAAAATAAAAAAAACCTCCAGCGTATAGAAAGCACTTCACTTACTACGTCGTTTCTAATCTCTAAAGTTTCCTCCTTCCTGTCTTCACCTCTCTCTCTCTCAAACGCCCCGAAACAGATAAACCCTAGCCCTAATCCCCAAATTCTTTTCCCTTCAAACCCTAATCCTCCAATCATGGCTTCCAATAAAGACGCCGATCCATCTCTCGGCTACCTAACCCGAAAAGACACCGAGGTAAAGCTCCCCCGCCCGACCCGAGTCAAGAACAAAACCCCCGCCCCGATCCAAATCACAGCGGAGCAAATCCTCCGAGAAGCACGAGAACGACAAGAAGCTGAAATCCGACCGCCCAAACAGAAAATCACCGACTCGACTGAACTCGCCGACTACCGTCTCCGCAAGAGGAAAGAATTCGAGGATTTAATTCGACGAGTGAGGTGGAACATCAGTGTTTGGATCAAGTACGCCCAATGGGAAGAGTCTCAGAAAGATTTCAATCGCGCGCGTTCAGTGTGGGAGCGTGCACTGGAGGTGGATTATCGGAATCATACTTTATGGCTGAAATACGCGGAGGTGGAGATGAAAAACAAGTTTATAAATCACGCGAGGAACGTGTGGGACCGGGCGGTTACCCTTCTCCCGAGAGTTGATCAGCTCTGGTATAAGTATATTCATATGGAGGAGATGTTGGGGAATGTTGCTGGAGCGAGGCAGATTTTCGAGAGATGGATGGGGTGGATGCCGGACCAGCAAGGTTGGCTTTCGTATATAAAGTTTGAATTGAGGTATAACGAGGTGGAACGTGCGCGAGGTATTTTTGAGAGGTTTGTTCAGTGTCATCCGAAAGTGAGTGCGTGGATTAGGTACGCGAAGTTTGAGATGAAGAATGGGGAGGTTGCTAGGGCGAGGAATGCGTATGAAAGGGCGGTTGAGAAGTTGGCGGATGATGAGGAGGCAGAGATGTTGTTTGTTGCATTTGCGGAGTTTGAAGAGAGGTGTAAGGAAACGGAGAGGGCTAGGTTCATCTATAAGTTAGCTTTGGATCGTATACCGAAAGGGAGGGCGGAGGATTTGTACAGGAAGTTTGTTGCTTTTGAGAAACAGTATGGTGATAAAGAAGGGATTGAGGACGCGATTGTGGGGAAGAGAAGGTTTCAGTATGAAGATGAAGTGAGGAAGAATCCTTTGAATTATGATGCGTGGTTTGATTATATTAGGTTGGAGGAGAGTGTGGGAATTAAGGAGAGGATTAGAGAGGTGTATGAACGTGCAATTGCTAATGTCCCGCCTGCCCAAGAGAAGAGATACTGGCAGAGATATATTTATTTATGGTAATTTTTGGAGTTTGAAATTGTATTTAATTGTCTTATTTTGTTCTTGATGGTTTATTTGGCTAATTGATAATGATGTCTTAATTATGTGTGGTTCAGGATAAATTACGCCCTTTATGAAGAGCTTGATGCAGAAGATATAGAACGGACGCGGGAGGTATATAGGTATACTTGCTTTTGCTAATTTGATTATAGTGGTTTCTCCTTTTTTTGTTCCTGCTGTTGATGGTGGTGGTGAGTTTTGCTTTTTAAAAAAAGGAACAGGTGGATGTGTTAATGTCTTATCTTTTGAATGATTAGAAATTTGCAGTGTATTGCCCATAATTGAAACGAAAAAAAGAAAAACTGCTAAAATCATAACTATAAGACGAAGGGCTTAGTGCATTGAGTGCACGTCTAATTGACTATGAGGAGTTTTCTAATTCACTTTAAATGTTTTCAGTGAATGCTTGAACCTGATCCCACATGAGAAATTTTCATTTGCAAAAATTTGGCTTTTAGCAGCCCAATTTGAGATCCGGCAATTGAATCTGAAGGGAGCTCGGCAAGTTTTAGGTAACGCCATTGGAAAAGCTCCTAAAGATAAGGTAAAATCTTGGCTGATGATAGAGCTTGATGAACTTAATTGCACTATGTTGATTTGTTCTGACACTTTGCTTGTTGACGAACAGATATTTAAGAAATATATTGAGATTGAGCTGCAGCTTGGCAATATCGATCGTTGCCGGAAACTCTATGAGAAATATTTAGAGTGGTCGCCGGAGAATTGTTATGCTTGGAGCAAATATGCTGAGCTGGAGAGGTCCTTGAGTGAAACTGAACGGGCCCGAGCTATTTTTGAACTGGCGATAGCGCAGCCAGCCCTGGATATGCCAGAGTTGTTGTGGAAGGTAATTTATTTGTTGTTGCCATTTTGTCAAGGAGTCCATATTTGTAATTCATGTCCTTTGTTGACTGTCAAATCCAAATTCTTCATTTTTGTGCCTGTAAATGTATTGCATGGCCAATAATCATAACTCTAAAGTGCAGAAGTGGTTATGCTTCCTTTATCCTTAATATTCAAATTATTGAAACAATAGATGAAGGTTTAGTGATAAATAAAAAAGGAACACGAGAGATGAATGCTTTTTTCATAGTGGTATGTGTATTTTTAAGGCGTTTTGTGTCATGTAATGGTAAATTTTCCTTTTTTTTTTTTATGTCATGTTTGAATCCTTTCCTTTCTGTATGTGTTGAAGACATTTTTGACAAACAATGCAATCTTCGTACACTAGATGCTTGCTGTCCTAGACTTTTATTTCTCACATATTAAATGTTTGGAGATACTTGTAAGAATGATACATTTAGCAAATCACGATTTTCTTTCAGTCATATCGGTGCTTTGTTTTCTCTTTGTTTATCTGTCTCCTGTCTATTGTATTGTCTGTATTTTTTGGGGCTTTGGTGATTTTGTCCTTAAAGGTTGTGGAATGAAATGCCATTAATAGGAATTATTGCATTATCAATCTGACCCCTTCTGCACATTTACTTGCTGCTTCAACTTCTCATTGCTGGTTTTCCACATAAGAAGTTGTGTTGTTTGTAGAGCAGGGAATTTGTTATTTGTCCATGAACTTAGCTTAGGTTCAACACCATACACCCTTTACAAATTATAGGAATTAACAATTGGTACAGTTCCTGGCTCCACTGATCCTTCTCTATCTCTCATCTACGTACTGCTTTAACTTCTTTGAGTTCCTATGGCTAGTTTTTCTTGCAAAGGAGCTGTTTTCTCTGTAGGACATGGACTTGGTATTTGCCAAGGAACTTACCTTAGGGTTCAATGCCATACCTTTTGCCAATCAATCTATGTTATTTTCTTTTGGATCCATTTTTTCCTCCATTATGCTGTCATCCACTATCTTTTCTCATTACCGTGCGCCAGTTATTTCTTCTTATTGTAAATATATAGTTCAATGGAAGAAATGTGAAAGGGTGCATATAAGGCTTTATTTTTGGAAACTGTTAAAGGAGGACCATTGTTGTCAACCTAAAACTCTTAGCTCTCTGATTTGATAACTTTTCTTGTTTAAAGTTAGTGTTATTGTTTATTGATTAAAGAGTAGCAGGATATCATATGTACTGTTTTTCCTCTGACTGCAGGCATATATTGACTTTGAGATCTCTGAGGGTGAATACGATAGAACTCGTGAACTTTACGAGAGACTTTTGGATCGCACAAAGCATCTAAAAGTTTGGATCAGTTATGCTAAGTTCGAGACATCTGCCATGGTAGAACAGAAGCTGTGCATTCAAAATTCAAGAAGTAAGGCATCCGGATCTCTTTAATCAGTTCTTATATATCTAATCAGTTAAGTTCTAACGCCTTATTTTTCTTTAGGGGTTTTTGAGAAAGCGTTAAACTACTTCAGAATGTCTGCCCCTGAACTGAAAGAAGAAAGAGCTATGCTCTTAGATGAATGGTTGGGTGTTGAGAAAAGTTTTGGGCAGCTAGGTGATGTTAGCCTTGTCGAGCCTAAACTGCCTAAGAAACTGAAAAAGAGAAAGCAGGTTGCTTCTGAAGATGGGCTGGCTGGGTATGTAATCTTCTTGTGCTTTTATCTTTTGTGTTAGTATTGTTTCTTTCTTTTTCTTAATATCACAATGAAGGCAAAGGCGGCAGTGTTTCAATCAATGGTTTGTGGACTTTGGTATATTTGAGATGGTGATTCAGATTCAAGTTAGGAGCCCTGCATTGGTGTTGAAGGTGCTTTTGTAAAAGTGTTTTTAGGTTGTTGATATGCCTTTTCAGGTGCTTTTTGATGTTTTTGTTTGGACCGAAAAGCATTCAAAAAAGGGAAAAGACAAAAGGCATCAATTTGATGCTTTATAGCCTGAAACAGCACTTGCAAAAATAACTTCAACTGCAATGGCCAAATGCCATGTGAATTGAGTTTCATTTGGGTTTAGTTTGGATATTTTGAAATTTTCCAGCAGTTACTTAAATGCTGGTAGTGGTACTTCTGATAAAACTCATTTTTTAAACTGGGTGCCACATTCATACTTAAAATTGAGTATTTGCATGCCCGCTCTGCTTGGTCCTTGGACAAATCCATGAACTGATACTCCACCATTACAATGCTACTGATTTTGCCCATCCAGTTTTCCATGTTATCCTCCTGTTCTTGATCAGTTTGACCAACAATTTTTTTCTTGCAGGTACGAGGAATACATAGATTATGTATTTCCAGAAGAAGCTCATGCACATAATCTCAAAATCTTAGAAAAAGCACGTGAATGGAAGAGGCAAAAGCTTGCTTCTGGTGCTGAGGATTAGTGGGATCATTCCGTCTTGTACGTTTTTCCTAATCTGTACATACATTGTGTTGTATCCAAAATGCATGTGGCACATTGGTAAAAGCAATACTTTGGCTACACGTTTGATGAAAGAGGTAAAAGGAGAATGCTCCCAAGGATTTAGACAGGAATATATCTCAAGGTATGTAGACTATCTAAATGCATTGTCTGTGTCAGCAGATGAGTTGATCCTGAGCATGTAACTGGCAAATCCTTGTCATACAGTTTTGAAGTAAACTGCTATTTGTAGCTTGCTCTGTTATTTCCTGAATCCGTGAAAGGAAAAATTGAATGGTTGATAATGTTTTTTAACACCTTCTAAGTTAAGAGCTGGTAGAGCTCAAAATTTTTGGACTTCCATTTGTATGTTCTGCTATTTGTAACGTGTCTTGTTATTGGTCAGTATATGTTTAGTTTATTCTTTGAAAAACTGACAAAGGGACTTTGGGGAACGTATTCCTCACATTCTTCTTATACTTGGTTTTCTTAAAATTATTTTTGAGAGTTCGTGTTGAACGATGAACGAAACTATTTTACATTAATTATAACTCAATCACGGTCTCCTATCGCATTTTTTGTTTGGAATGAATTACTCATTTTTTTCCTTTAATAAGACTCAATATTATAATGTTCGGACCACGCAAAGGAGGGTCGATACCAATGTTAATTTTGGTTCATCAGTTAAGCAGCTCTTTAGCCAAGACATTTTACATTTCTTGGAAGATGATAATGTATCAGTTCTGAAATGTTGTTTGTGGAACGTATAAATCCTAATCGGATGAGATTAGAAAATTTTTTCTCTCTCATATCAATTTCTATAAGTTATGATATTATTCATTTGTCCTCCATGGAAAGATGTTCATTTTAAGATTTTGAGGATGGAACCCTGGGAAATGTAGAATAAGATTTCAGCATGAAGAGGGATTGTCTCCTATCCTGTGTCACCCAAGGCTCGGTGAGCCTCTCATTGAAATAATAAAGAATTATAGGAGAAATTTTATAATACATAAGAAGGAATTAGTGATATCTACAGTAGTTATTTCATGGATTCACTTTGAAGAGAGAGATAGATACATTAAATTATATTCGGATTTATCAAAAGTGATAAGAAGATTTTTACATTTACTTAATTTTTTTTTCATGGAGTAATTACTGTACATGTAACTAATTATTTTTTTATGTATTATAAAATTTTTCAAATTATAATATTAATTTTTAGATATTAATCTTAAATAAGAAAAAAAAAACTTAAGTTTAATTTGGTGTGTTGCAATAATATAAATCTATGTGTATGGGATAATAACAAAATAAATAACTAAGTCAAAGTAAAAAAAAAAAAAACCCTAAAAAGCGAAATCTAAAATAAATAAATCATATAAATCCAAACTAATATGCAAAACTAGAAGATTTAAATCAAACCTCATAATGTTAAAAGGTGTTAACATAGATTTGAAAAATGAATAGTAAATCCACCTACGCTATTATGAATTGTGTGATACTAGTGGTCAATATATTGTGAGGCAAATCTAATTAAAATTACGAATAATAATCATGCAGAGCAAGGAATTGCAAAATTGTACGAGGTGTCAATTAATGGCGACGCAAATAATGCCCTTCTTCTTTTTCTTTTTATTTTTTGTCCTATACAAGTATGCCAGGGCAAATAATTCCTTCTCAAAAATAGATAAAGAAAAAGGCCGATTTATGCTGTTAAATGTATCTTTTTAAAACTAAAAGAGAAGCATGACTCCATCTGCTGGTTTGCCCGAGAGGTTAAGGGGGAAGACTTAAGATCTTCTGCACACAAGTGCGCATGGGTTCGAACCCCATAGCCAGCAATTTCATATTTAAGTTTAAATATATATTATTATATTTACGCTATTTACTAAATAGCCTCTTTTTTTTTTTTTTCGCATGTAAAGTAATAATGATGATCATACTAATTCTCTGCTTCATTTTTTTAACTCCCTTTTGTATTCTGAGAACCTGAAAATACTCTATTGTTTGTGTTTTTTTCTTTCTTTTTTTGGGTATAAGATGGGATTGGTCGGTGAACTTTGTAGTGCTTATATATATATATATTCTATTGGTCGGCCCCAAGCAGAATGGAAGTAGAGCAGGTTTTAAGAAAATAGCAGGTAATCTCGCTCATCCTAATCTACATTGAGTTTCACTTTATTTGTCCAAATACATTGTTTCACTCTTATCTTCTAGCTCCCGATTTTAGTAATTTGATCTTCCATCGAAAATGACGAAACTATTTTTAACAAATGTTGCAAGTTGTAACACAATAATAATTGAGTCTTAAATTGCGTATAACTTCACTACTTTTTATCATAATTCTGCCTTTGATATATTATAGCACTATACAATATATCAATTCTTTTAACAGGAAAATCATTTTTTTCCCTTTCTTTTATAAAATTAACCACCTATATTCAGATTGAAACATTAAGGAATACCTGTTTTTAGATTTAATCCTAAATGGTAAGTGGATAACAAACTCATTTATTTGAGTAAAAAGTCATTTTAGTGTGCAATTGAATTTCTAATCTAGAAAACAGTGCCTTCGTGCAAAATGGTCAATTTTTCATAACGCGGGAAGGGGTGAACTTGTCGTTCGATAATTGGTACCAAGCAATTTCTACTGCTGAAGAAACAATATATCGCGAAGGTTCATTGTTTGATGACATGGCGAGAATTTGCGATCCTTTCCGTGGTTTTATGGAAATAAAGTAAACATCGAAGGGTATTGGTTTCAAAAGAAGCGCCAAAATTTCCTTCTCCTTGCAAGAACAAAAAAGGGAATTAAAAAGCAGTCAGTCATGTACAAATTTTATTTTCTTCTTTACCTCTTTTTTGTTTGTCGTAATCTCTTTCTTAATTACAATTAATTTTTTTTTTTTGTCTCTTGCTGGATTCAGATCTGCAGTGAAAAGTCCCCTCCTATCACAGGTATTTTTTATTTTATTTTTTTTACAGTTTTATGCTGCTAATGTACTTTGAAGGAAATTCATTTAATTGGTTTTAAAGGAAATACGAAAATGATTGAAACGAAAAGAAACGATGCCATCTTTTTTTAATCTAAACAAAAAGGAGAAGCACATGAAAATAATTATAACGCCTAAAAGTCTCAATCATCCATCTGGGTTCCTTGTCCTATGTTGCATGAATCTTTGGATTTGATTGATTGCTAGATCATTAGATCCATTTGTCCAATAATCTTCATGTCTAATCGTTGTTTTTTTTTGTTTTTCTTATAAAAGAGAGAGGGAGCGAGGAGAGTTCGTTCCAACGCAACTTATAAAGTGAGGTGCCTACCAACTTACTTGATGAAACTATTGCAAAATTCTTGCCCTATTCATATCATTTTATTTTGAATTCTCAAAAAAAAAAAAAAAAAAAATGTTAAACATCTAAATTTGTCTGTGGCTTCTATGTTGTTTAAGGTCACATTAAATAAGGCCTGAACTCCATCACATAATCAACAACTGTTAGCATAAAATAAAATGGTTTAATTTTTTATTGTCGAGCCAGGTTTGATGTGTTGGACCGCAGCTACATCTGGGGTTAGTTAAAAAATAAAAAGAGATGTTTGAATTTGCGTTTCAAAACGTCATAGAAACTGCTGGCCCTGTTGTTTTCTGTGAAATTGACATTTCATTATTTTGTTCATGCACATTCCACATCTAGCGATCGATGACTACTGCTAGTATTGTTTTTTCGTGGGGGGCCAAGCTGTCAAAATCATGAGCGGATCACTGCCCTCTCTGCTGGAACCAGTGGATTAGAGGAATTAAAATGATTTCATAACCTTAATTTATATAATGGCTATCGTCAATTGGGCAGCTGCAATTAAGGACCTTAAATTTTGATAGCAATTGCTTTGATTAGGCTTCTGCAGGTTTTAAATCAACACCCTCTTGTTTTATTATTATTATTATTATTATTATTTGGATTAATATCAAGGAACCTTGGACTCGTACCAATGAATTTTTTTAAAGATTGCATGTAAAACATGTTTACCTTGAACAGTGTGGATTGAAACAATGCCCTGGAAAATGTAGAAAATTAATTTATAGGACATCTTCAGATGTTTTTTTTTTTTTACCCTCCCTATCTTTGTTTTATTTTCTTTTGTTTTTTTCTTTATTCAAATCTTTTTACTTAGAGCCAAAAATGGGGCTGCGATTGACTTCTCATGTTTATTGTGTTTGATTGGATGATTGTCCTGTCCTTCCTCTTTCTTAAAGATTATTGGTTGAAAGTCTTTTTCCAATTTAACGTTATTTGAACCCTGGATGAGGCTTATCTCATAACCAAGAAGCCATGCACTTTCCTGAAGTGGTCTTGTATTATTAGCTAGAACGTCACTATAGAATTGACTTCCATCTGATTAAATTAAAACGAATCCTACGGCAATTCCATACACATTATTGTCCGAAGGTGTTTTTTTTTTTTTTTTTTTTTTTTCACATTTGAAATCCATACTTTTCGAATTTTTTTACTAAGATACTTTATTTTTGTCAGCTTGATTGATACTTTTTATTTTTTGAAATTTTTTTACTTCAAATCTTTTTTTATAACATTAGTTACCAATCAATAATCGATGTTTTTTTTTTCGATATTTCTTATTTTACAATGTCAAATGTTGATAATTGATTAGGGATATTATAACAGAGGATTTAAAGAAAGAAATTTAGAAAAGTGAAGGATATTAATCAAGCAAAAAAAAATTAAAGGTCTCAAAAAAATTTAAAGAGTACAGCGTTTAAATATATATAAAAAAAATCTTTGCCTGAAGCTGTTGAACCTTTGAAAATTTTGACTGTGAATGATCTTTTCAAAAATTAATGATCATTTAATAAGTTATGTGCATGCTTCATTCTTCAACAGATGAGCATTGAACTTCATAATGACCATCAGTATTGTTTCTTTTATGCTTTTGCATCTTTAGAATCTCCAGCTGATATGCTTCGGATGAAGAGTGCATTGTCTCTTTAAGTGCTCATTAATTTGTTGGAGCTGGCTGTAAATTCCCATTTATAAATCAAGCGGCGTGCGGAAGGTGATGGAGTTCGTTGGCAGCCATGGAGATCCTGAGAACATAGAAAAAATGAAAGAAACTAAAAGAGGTGCAGTATCTCTAATGTACAAACTCAAATTTCGTAAAACCTGCAGTGCTGCAGGTTATGATATTCAAGAACTGAGGCCAAAAGAACGCATTTTCAGTATCTATAAGCATCCAAGTTGGAGAGAGAGATTTTATGCTAAAACTGAATATCTTCATTTTACCAGTTATGTCAGCATTCGGTTCTCTATTAGAGTTTAGACTCACACAATCGTGCAAACATGCTATAAATTTGAATCTCACAATGATGGCTGAAGTTTAAGTACATTTCTTCGCAGGCCTTAACTTCCCTATACTTCTAATCACTATCTGTTCTTCATAGAATTTTGAGCTTTGTGGTTTCGTTCCTAAAAAATGTTCAGTTTCTTTCTTTAAGAATAGAGTGGATATACTTTTTATTGCCAGTTGTGTTGAATGTTAAAATAATTAATTCCGTGTTTTCTTGTTATTTGCAGACATTGAACATAAAGTGGGAAAGATCTTGAAGCTTATACAGAATAATGGCCAAGCTAAAAAGGGTAAGATCCCGGAAGACTCAAAGAAGAGATCAGCACTCATTGAACTTGTCGAGGATTTTCACAAGCAGTACCAGTCGCTCTACGAACAATATGATCATCTTAGAACAGAGATTGGGAAAAAGGCTCGTGGCAGAAAAGAAAAGGAAAGTTCTTCCTCTTCATCCTCCTCTGACTCGGAGTATTATTCTCCTGCGGACATAGGCAGCAGCCCCATGATAAACATGTATCTTGAAAAATCAGATGACACTACTAGAGAACTCGATGTTGCAAACTTAGAAATCACTGGGTTGAAGCATAGATTGGCCTCTGCTACCGCTGAAAATGAAGATTTACGTGCCAAATACAGTGCAGCTTTACAAGAAGCAGAGACTGCCAATGAGCTAAATAAGGAACTTTCAGCTCTAATAAAGGTGCATGAGCTTCATGATGGTCAAGCATCAGCTCAGATGAAGGAGCTGGAGGGACAGTTAACTACGCTGAAGACTGAGATGGATTCGTTGTGCAGCCTGAAAAAGGAACATGAGGCACAGATTGAAAAGAAAGAAGCTGAATCAAAACAGCTTCAAGAGAAGAACTCACAACTGCTTTCAAGGGTTTCGGAACTTGAACTGATGTCAAAAGAGAAAGGAGATGAGATATATACAATCCAGAAGAAAATGAAGGATAACGAGAAGAGTTTCACATCTAGAATTGAAGATCTGATGGCACAGGTCAACAATCTGCAGCTGGAGACGATGTCTTTACGTTCTCAGAATGGTAAACTGGAAGCAAGTAAGCGGAAGGAAGCATCAGCTCAAGCCAAGGGCTTGAAAAACCGAATAAATGTTTTGCAGAAGGAATTGGACTCGCTCCGTGCTGAGAAATATCAACTGGAAGTTCAACTGAACATGAAAACCAAAGAAGTTGCTGAAAACCTGCTCCGGACAGAAACTCTAGAAGGTGAAATAGCAAGGAAGGCTATAACTGAACAGGAACTGCTAAAAGAGAAAGAAGCCTTTCTTGTGCAGAGGGAGGACCTGGGACTGGAAGCAAACTCTCTTCGCAACCAAAATTACAGATTGGAAGAGCTGATAAGAAGTAAAAACCAAGAGACAGATCAGTTGCGAGAAGAAGGGGAGAGGATGCGTACTAGAATATTCGAATTGGAGGGGATCTTATTAGATAGAGGGGATTCCTTTTCTCCTTGTCAGAAAGAATATGAAGTTAGAGAGAATGAAGCTTCTTCTCAGGTTATGGCCCTGAAATCACAGGTTTTGAGTTTACAACAGGCTTTGGATTCCTTGATGAGTGAGAAGAGTTTGCTGGACGCACAAAACGAGAGACTAAGGCGAGACGCTATGCAAATCCAGTTTCAGATGGAAAGTGAAATCCACAATTTAAAAAGCAAGGTTGAAGAGCAGCAGAAAATCCTGAAAGAAAAGGAGGACGATATCAAAAAGCTCACTGAAGAGCCTAAATTAGTCAGACATCATTTGCTGGATTCCCCCAAATATCGGCCATTGGATTCTCCAAAGTATCGGTCACTGGAATCCTCTAGGACAAATCCTCAATCTGTAGAGAGAAAGATGGAAGAACTGGCAGAGAACTTCAATATGAAAATGGAAAATCATATCCGAATCTTGTATCAGAGGATTTTAGTCGCAGAACAAATACATGCCGAAACCAAAGATGGGTACAAGAAGATGAAAGAGAGACTTGATCAAGAAAACATAGAGCTTAACGAAAAGACAGCAGCATTTGAAGCTGAACTCGGGAAGATCAGGGATATGTTATTGGAACCAGAAGAAGATGTATTTTCAGGAGCAGAAGCAATTCTCAAGAAATTCGAGGAGGACAAGGGAAATCTCTCTAGCCCCATTTGCCGAATCTCGAACGAGCTTCAGATTGCGAAGAGATGGATCACAGGAACAAAAGATGAGATAAAAAGGTTGAAACATAATGTGGATAGTTTGACAGCGCAACTCAATGGCAAGGAGGAGAAGGAGCTCTTGTTAAGAGAAAAGGTGTGGAAACTAGAAGCAAAGCTGAGCAAGGAAGGAGGAGAGAAGCTGAATTCTGTTGGTCAGCTTGAGAGAAAAGTGGTATATTTAGAGCAGCAGGTAAAAGACAAGGAAGATGTTTTGCTAGGTCTCAGTGAGGAGAAGAGGGAGGCCATAAGGCAGCTTTGCGTCTTGATTGATTATCATCGCGGCCGCTATGATCATCTCAGAGAAGCAATATCAAAGAAGAGAAGGAGTTAGAAGAGAGATGCAGACATTTTCTTCTTTTGTTTATTAATGCTGTTATTTTTGTTTAACATTAATTCTTTCATTTTTTTTTTCCTTAAACAAAACCATGTGAGCAAGCTTTAATATTGTCTCATCGAAGCTTGTAAATTAGTTCCAATATTTGTTCAGTGCTTTTTACCTAATTTTGGAATTGACTTCAACTCCAACCCTTTGTTCTCAGTTTGCAGATAACCTCTGAACCTCACCATCTTGATTCAAAGGAGCTTTTAATATCTCATCATTTATATTCTTTCCATTTAACTCTGACCAAGCTAGTATGATTTTTCTATCCTAATAATATTTGTTTCCATGGTTGCTTTACCACCAGCCTAATTCATCCTCTCTTATTATGTTGAGGAGGTTGAATTATTTCTTTTTTATTATTGTTTTTTTTTTAAGGCCTTAAAAAATAGGACTTATCTCTTTATTTTTTAAGCTATCAAAGCCATCAATTAGCCACGACCAACAAAAAAAATAACTGATTTATTTTTGCTTCTTGCTGGATAATAACAAGTTAGAGTTAAGGAATCAAATTGAAAAAAAAAGAAAAAAAGGGGGGTTAGGTTAAAGGGAGCCCTTAGGGCACTTGTGAAAAATCATTTAATGCTTCAAATTAATTCACTTTTCTTTTTAGTTATAGAATTTATTATGAATACTTAAAATTATTGCCATATAAAATAAGAAATACTTATTATCAATATCATTCAAATATTTGATTTTTTTTTAATTGCAACTAACAGTAAATAAAGTACAATAAATACACTTAGATAATGATTAAAAAACCATACCATCATGTTCTTTTTTTTATTTTCCACATAATAGAGATTCCAAGTTGACATCTTTTAGAAGGAACAAGGATATTAATATTTATTGAGTTATATTTTCTTGACATATTCCTGAAATCTAAATCATTTAATTCAAATTAAATAGATATGATTTAGTGCATGATAAAGTTAGTAACAATTTAATTTTTTATTATTTTATTTTCTCACCTAATCTATAGTTTTAAATCTAAAATGAATGATAAGATTTGAAACATGATCCCGTTTATATATTATATATAAGATGATAAAAGAACATTAAAAAACTAGGTGCTTAAGACAATATTGAAACAAATATTATATGAAGAGAAAGAATTATAGATAATAATTAAGAGAAATAAAAATAGAAATACAATGAAAGAAGATAATGTATATTAGCCTTTAGATCAAAAGAAAATCCATGATTGACAAGATGTGTACAGTTATTGATTGTAAACACGTCTAAATGGATCCTTTTTCTTCTTATTTTTGCACCATTATATACTGTAAATATAGTGCTAAATTTATTTATTATATGGATCAAAGTTGAATAGGCATCCAATGGATCACCACAAGGACCCGTTATTTATCTATTTAGCATTACCGAAACTACGTCACAGTGGCATTTTCGTAAGAACCCAAATCCATACAAGCATACAACTAGGCGCGGGAAACAACTCATACAAGTGGGCCCGATAACTACGAATCGTTTCCTTCTGAAAAAACAAAATCTCCCGTTTTCCTCAGCAACAAACTCACGATATTTTCCCCCTCAGTTACCTCACAGTGGCATTTTCGTAATAACTGAAACACCGCAAGGGTAATTAAATAAATAGATGAGGTTCCAAAGATTCCTTTCCTCCCTCTAATTGAAAAGCTAGAAAATGCTGTACCGGTCATTCTGAACACCTCTCTCTCTTTTCACTTTCAAATTTTAGAGCGTTTCATTTTTTCAAGTTTCTTCTGAGCTGTGTATTACAGGTAATTAATTCTTGATTATGATCTTGATTTACTGCTTAATCTCAGTATCTTTAGCTTGTAATTCTTGCTTAACTAAGGATTTCAGCTTTTCTACTTCCTTTTCTTATGTTAGTTCATTTTTTCTTGCTTTCTTGTTTATCTGTTTGTTTGTGTTTTCTTTTTTAATTATTTTTAGCTATTGTTTGGTTGATCAAGTTCTTGCTTTTGGTAATTTAATGTTTTGAAGTTCGTTTCCAGTATATATTAGATTAGTTTATTACTATTTATTTACAGGTTGATTGGCATATGCTAATCGTTTCTTGCTTGTTTGTTTGTTTGGTGTTTTTATTTTTAATCTTTTTATCAACTGTGATTACGTTTTCGTTTGTCTGATTACAACTAATTGCCTTAAGATCCTAATTTTTGAAGTTCTGGTTAAATTCTTCATTTTTTTCAAAGATTGATTGTATTTTTTTACTGAAATCTCTCTCTCTCTCTCTTGATTTTTTTGCAGGCCTAAGCGAAGCTTACTAGGGAAGATTGAAAGCGAAAGCGAAGGAAATTTCCTGGTAAGTTAAAAAGTTCAGTTTCAAAATAACTTTACGTAATTTTAGCTTTCTATGGTGAAAAAATAGTATAAAGCTTTGAAACTTGGACTTTTATCTGATTTTAAAATTAGTTTTTATTAGTAATACTATATACTGGACGTAGAAAATACCAAAAAGAACAGCTCACCTTCAATAGTATTAAGCCGTCTTTTTCTGCTTTTTGAATTCTAAAATTGGCTTCTTATCCTGGGGCGCTTTGATTTGATTTCTTATTAGTGGCGATGAGGTGGTGCCATATCTATAATGACATGTTTGGCTGTTTAATTGTCCATTTTTGCAGTTGAAAAATGGGTTTTTTTTTTTAAGGAGAAGTTTATTGATGTGTTGGGTCCATGGATTGAAAAAAATGGCTCTTTTAGTGGACTTGTTATAGCAAAAGGAAGATGGGATTTTGAATATGTGTGGAGCTGAAATTTGGTTAGTAGCGAGGACAAGCAACTTTATATGCTTGGTTGTGATTGGGGAATCCAAATATGACATGGGTTTTGATCTGTGTTTGGTTTTACCCAATGAAATAATGATGTCAGTGAATGTTTGGGATAACTGGCCTTTTGATAGCTGAGTTTTAGTAGGGACCAGTCATATCCAGTTCAACAGCTATAGTTTCAATATAGTCTATAACTAGAAGCTCTTACAGATATAGACTTTTAGGTGTAGCAAAGCAACAACCAAATTTATTAATTCAGACCGGATTGATTTTCATTTCATTGGCAAAACCTGATTCTGTATTTCAAATTTTATCAAATTAAAGTCAAATCTGAACTATTATCCTGTTTTTAGGATGATGGTGAGATTTAATTGATGTTAGGACTTTGGATAACCATGAGTTGCAGCCTGTCAGCCAAAATATATTATTAGCCTAGAATAGGTCAAAGTTGATATTTTTACTGATGTATTTCACAAATAGACCCTGTTAACATTATTTGATTACTTTAATAAGATCTCTAACTTTCTGCTTGAATGCTTTCATTTGTGTGATGTTTACTTTGAATGACTGATCGTGCTAGCTATTAACTGATCATGAATCTTCTCATGGCCGAGCCATTTCATTTAACTGCTTCTGCATGTTCAAATCTGGTAAACCATGGATAAGCTGCTGGAAGCTTATTGTGTTTAATTATCTAAATCCTGGTATGCAGATTTTATAATTTTGGGGGGAAGATGGAGAATGCATAGCTGTCAAGGAACATCCATTGAAAGTTTGAAGAGAAGATGACAAAGAAGAAGCACCATTTCCGAGAGTCACTAAAATCCTTCTTGGGAAGTCACATTGATCCAGAGAAAGATGAACAGCTAAAAGAAACTAAAACAGGTGATTTCCTCTATCAGTAATTCTGGAGGTTGTGAAATGGCATTATGAAAACTGGAAGAACGAAAATTCTGTGACCTATCTTGCAGCACATTTTGAGTTGTCTTTACATGCTATTGTTTTGTGCCTTGAGCTCGTCCTTTCCATTGTAGTTTCGGTCAATGTTTAACCGTATAGACATTTCCTGTTCTGCAGAAATTGATGACAAGGTGAAAAGCATCTTGAAGCTTATCAAAGAGGAAGGACTTGAAGAACAAGATGGACTCTCAGAAGAAAACTCCAAAAAAGAGCCTCTTCTCAAGCTGATTGAGGATTTACAGAAACAGTACCATTCGCTTTATGGACAATATGATCATCTGAAAGGAGAGCTGAGAAAGAAAGTTCATGGCAAACATGGAAAAGATGCCTCTTCTTCATCTAGCTCAGACACAGATTCTGATGATTCTTCTAAACACAAAGGTAGTAAAAATGGTCGCCTGGAAAGCGAATATCAAAAGATAACAGATGGCATAAAGCAAGAACTTGAAGCGGTGAATCTAGAACTTGCTGAACTGAAGAGTAAGTTGACAGCTACAAGTGAAGAAAAGGATGCTTTGAAGTTGGAGCATCAAACAGCTTTGATCAAGATACAAGAATCAGGGGAGATCGTCAGAAATTTGAAGCTTGAAGTCGAAAGGTCAGACGCTGATAAAGCACAACTTTTGATCGAGAATGGAGAACTGAAGCAAAAACTAGATACTGCTGGTGTGAAAGAAGTTGAACTTTATCAAAAATTGGAAGAACTGAAAAAAGAGCAAGATAGCCTGATTTTGGAGAAAGAGGCTGCCATGAGAAGCACTGAAGAGAGAGAGAAGATCGCAGAAGCTTTGAAGTTGGAATATGAATCAGCTTTGATCAAGATACGAGAAGGAGAGGAGGTCATCAGAAATTTGAAGCTTGAAGTTGAAATATCAGACACTGATAAAGCACAACTTTTGGTTGTGAATGGAGAGCTGAAGCAAAAACTAGATGCTGCTGGCGTGATAGAAGCAGAACTGAATAAAACATTGGAAGAACTGAACAAAGAGAAAGATAGCCTGATTTTGGAGAAAGAGGCTGCCATGAGAAGCATTGAAGAGAGGGAGAAGATCGCAGAAGCTTTGAAGTTGGAATATGAAACAGCTTTGATCAAGATACGAGAAGGAGAGGAGGTCATCAGAAATTTGAAGCTTGAAGTTGAAATATCAGACACTGACAAAGCACAACTTTTGGTTGAGAATGGAGAGCTGAAGCAAAAACTAGATGCTGCTGGCGTGATAGAAGCAGAACTGAATCAAAGATTTGAAGAACTGAACAAAGAGAAAGATAGCCTGATTTTGGAGAAAGAGGCTGCCATGAGAAGCATTGAAGAGAGAGAGAAGATCGCAGAAGCTTTGAAGTTGGAATATGAAACAGCTTTGATCAAGATACGAGAAGGAGAGGAGGTCAACAGAAATTTGAAGCTTGAAGTTGAAATATCAGACACTGATAAAGCACAACTTTTGGTTGTGAATGGAGAGCTGAAGCAAAAACTAGATGCTGCTGGCGTGATAGAATCAGAACTGAATCAAAGATTGGAAGAACTGAACAAAGAGAAAGATAGCCTGATTTTGGAGAAAGAGGCTGCCATGAGAAGCATTGAAGAGAGGGAGAAGATCGCAGAAGCTTTGAAGTTGGAATATGAAACAGCTTTGATCAAGATACGAGAAGGAGAGGAGGTCATCAGAAATTTGAAGCTTGAAGTTGAAATATCAGACACTGATAAAGCACAACTTTTGGTTGTGAATGGAGAGCTGAAGCAAAAACTAGATGCTGCTGGCGTGATAGAAGCAGAACTGAATAAAACATTGGAAGAACTGAACAAAGAGAAAGATAGCCTGATTTTGGAGAAAGAGGCTGCCATGAGAAGCATTGAAGAGAGGGAGAAGATTGCAGAAGCTTTGAAGTTGGAATATGAAACAGCTTTGATCAAGATACGAGAAGGAGAGGAGGTCATCAGAAATTTGAAGCTTGAAGTTGAAATATCAGACACTGATAAAGCACAACTTTTGGTTGTGAATGGAGAGCTGAAGCAAAAACTAGATGCTGCTGGCGTGATAGAAGCAGAACTGAATAAAACATTGGAAGAACTGAACAAAGAGAAAGATAGCCTGATTTTGGAGAAAGAGGCTGCCATGAGAAGCATTGAAGAGAGGGAGAAGATCGCAGAAGCTTTGAAGTTGGAATATGAAACAGCTTTGATCAAGATACGAGAAGGAGAGGAGGTCATCAGAAATTTGAAGCTTGAAGTTGAAATATCAGACACTGATAAAGCACAACTTTTGGTTGAGAATGGAGAGCTGAAGCAAAAACTAGATGCTGCTGGCGTGATAGAAGCAGAACTGAATCAAAGATTGGAAGAACTGAACAAAGAGAAAGATAGCCTGATTTTGGAGAAAGAGGCTGCCATGAGAAGCATTGAAGAGAGGGAGAAGATCGCAGAAGCTTTGAAGTTGGAATATGAAACAGCTTTGATCAAGATACGAGAAGAAGAGGAAGTCATCAGAAATTTGAAGCTTGAAGTTGAAATATCAGACACTGATAAAGCACAACTTTTGGTTGAGAATGGAGAGCTGAAGCAAAAACTAGATGCTGCTGGCGTGATAGAATCAGAACTGAATCAAAGATTGGAAGAACTGAACAAAGAGAAAGATAGCCTGATTTTGGAGAAAGAGGCTGCCATGAGAAGCATTGAAGAGAGTGAGAAGATCGCAGAAGAGTTGAGAATTTTGACTGATCGGCTGCAAGAGGAAAAAGCTACCACAGGGCAAGAACTAGAAGCTCTTAGGGTGGAACTTTCTAGCTTGAAGCAGCAGCTGGAATCTGCAGAACAGGAAGTTGCAGATTTTACCCATAATCTGAAAATAACCAAGGAAGAGAATGACTTGCTTACCTTAAAATTATCTGAAATCTCAAATGAGATGGAGCAGGCCAAAAACACGATTGATGGACTCATAGGTGAATCTGGTCAATTAAAGGAAAAATTGGGTGACAGGGAAAGGGAGTATTCATCTCTTGCAGCGGTGCATGAGAGACATGGGAACGAATCATCAGCTCGGGTCAAGGAATTAGAAGTACAATTAAGAGGTCTGGAACTGGAGCTGGAATCATTGCAAGCCCAGAACAGAGATCTTGAGGTGCAGAATGAGAGCAAAGTGGCCGAAGCAAAGCAACTAGGAGAACAGAATCATGGGTTAGAAGCCCGGATTTTGGAACTTGAAATGATGTCAAAAGAGACAGGGGATGAACTTTCTACTCTCACAAAGAAACTTGAGGAAAATCAGAACGAATCATTGTCTAGAACAGAGAATTTGACAGTGCAGGTCAATAATCTGCTAGCAGGCTTGGAATCTATACGTGCCCAGAAAGCAGAATTGGAGGAACAGATGGTAAGTAGAGGTAATGAAGCATCAATTCAAGTTGAGGGGCTTATGGATCAGGTAAATGTGTTACAACAGCAACTGGAGTCCCTACATAGCCAGAAAGCTGAACTAGAAGTGCAACTGGAAAAAAAAACTCAGGAAATTTCAGAGTATCTTATGCAGACAGAAAATCTGAAAGAGGAGATAGTCAGCAAGGCTGAAGATCAACAGCGAGTCCTGGCAGAAAAAGAAAGTTGTGTAGCACAAATCAATGATCTGAAACTAGAGGTGGAGGCTCTATGCAACCAAAAAGCTGAGCTTGGGGAGCAAATAAGTACTGAAATCAAGGAGAGGGAAAGATTGGGAGAGGAAATGGTGCGGTTACAGGAAAAGATCCTTGAGCTGGAAAAAACACACACACACAGAGAGCTTGAGTTCTCTTCTCTCCAGGAGAGACATACAAATGGAGAGAATGAAGCTTCTGCTCAGATAATGGCTTTAACGGAACAGGTCAGCAATCTGCAACAGGAATTGGATTCTTTGCGGACTGAGAAAAACCAAATGCAATCGCAGCTTGAGAAAGAGAGAGAAGAATTTTCAGAAACCCTAACCCAAATGGAAAATCAGAAATCTGAGCTCATGAGCCAGATTGCACAGCAGCAGAGAATGCTGGATGAACAGGAGGAGGCGCACAAAAAGCTAAATGAGGAGCATAAGCAAGTTGAAGGTTGGTTTCAGGTGTGCAAGGCGAGTCTTGAAGTAGCAGAAAGGAAAATTGAAGACATGGAAGAAGAATTCCAAAAGAGCGCCGGTTCTAAAGATCAGATGGTAGAGCAGTTGGAAGAAATGATTGAGGACCTTAAGAGAGATGTCGAAGTAAAAGGAGATGAAATTAACACCTTGGTTGAGAGTGTCCGAAATATAGAGGTTAAGCTCCGGCTGTCAAACCAGAAGCTCCGTGTCACAGAACAGTTACTAACAGAGAATGAAGAGAGCTTTAGAAAAGCAGAAGAGAAGTATCAACAAGAGCAGAGAGTGCTCGAAGAAAGGGCTGCTATGTTGTCTGAGATAATCACTGCAAATAATGAAGCTTATCACAGGATGGTTGCAGATGTCTCAGAAAAAGTAAACGATTCTTTGTTAGGACTGGATGCTTTGACCATGAAATTCGAAGAAGATTGTAACAGGTATGAGAACTGTATTTTGGTAGTGTCAAAGGAGATCCGGATTGCAAAGAATTGGTTCGTGGAGACAAATAATGAAAAGGAAAAATTGAGAAAGGAAGCAGGTGATTTACTTGTGCAGCTACAAGATACAAAAGAACGTGAATTGGCATTAAAGAAGAAGGTTGAGCAATTAGAGGTCAAGGCGAGTAAGGAAGGAGTGGAGAAGGAGAATTTGACCAAAGCTATCAACCAACTGGAGAAAAAGGCGATAGCATTGGAGATGATGATGAAAGAGAAGGATGAAGGGATATCAGACCTGGGAGAGGAGAAGAGAGAAGCTATAAGACAGCTATGCCTATGGATTGATTATCACCGAAGCCGTTATGATTATCTCAGGGAAATACTTTCAAAGATGCCCATTAGACGCCAGAGGGCATCTTAGGAGCCCTCGATAACATTTCCAAATCCAGCGTTTTCATTTGGGTTTTTCATCCTGCTATTCATTACTTCATTTTTGTTTTCTCACTTCATAAAGCTTTGTTGATATGTATATTCTTTAGATGATTGTTGAAACATTTGTCGAGTCAGTGAAATGTCAAAGCCAGTCGCACCAAATTCATCAGTTAAATGTAGCATTGTATGGTATTTATGTTGCCATTTTTTTTTAATAAAAAAAATTCAGGTACGATGGTAGAATTTGCTGAAAACGATCGCTAATCATCACCTCTCTCTGAAAACTTAAACTCGCATCTGCAACTAATCCTTTCGTTATATGAACAGGAAGAGGAATTCCAACAAACCAAAGAAAGAGCAGTCAATAGATGGAAAAAAGCATATACTGAAATGAAGCACCAAATAGCTTGCGGATATCACGAGCTGTTTAATGAAGAAGCTGCCACAAATAGAACTGGGTAAAAGATAACTTTAAATTGTCGAGGAGAAATGATCATTTCGACAAATAATTATTGCCACGGCAGTAAAAATAAGAAATCTAGAAACTAAAGATGGGTTTAAATGGAGACAGTAGTGTATAAGAAGGAAGAAATATTAACACTAACTAAAGATGGACTTCTAAACTTCCTTGCTACCTCGTAGTACGATAATCCCCGAAAACTGACCCTCTTCTAATTTTCCTTCCATTTCCCTCGCGAAGAAAGTAACAAAACTCTGAATTTATTCCTCTCGTTACTTCAGTCAGATATCCTCATCTCAACTCCAAGAACGTCCTTCACCATCTCGTATGTCACAAATGCAATTGCTATAGAAGGGACCACCTACAGATGAAAAAAAGGAAAAAAAAAAAAGAAAAGAAAAGATTTCCTTAGACGATAATGACAAGTAACAAAGCATTCCAAATAAAGATGACAAAACTAAGTTAGTGCACTGACCTTCACTGAATTGGGGACCAAACCCTTGTACAATGCTCCAAATCCCTCATGACGAACTGTTTTCCTGAAGGCATCAACCATACCAGTATATTCAAGGGGTGGTTTGCCCCTCCCATCACCAGTGACAACTGAAGCAGCATCCTTCCAGCCAACCATCTGCATTCTTCGTCGGATAACATCAAGAGGATAAGCAACTGTCTGGCCAACAGTTCCAGCAGCAGCCCCACATGCCAGCCTTGTTGTCACACCCAGCTCATTGTCCTCAGCTATTCCAAATGGTTTAGTTTTGAATAACCAGTCTTTCAGAGATTCATAAACAGCAAAGTTCAGACCCACATATGGTATCTGTAAACATCATACTTCAGGCCATTAGATGAAGTAACCACACAGATGGTTCTCTAATAATGGCATATATTCAGCTTGAACAAGAAGTACTGGTTTAGTGACCTAATGAACGAAATGCAAACTCCAACTCTGATGAAGTCTGAGGTATCCATGCATAAGAACATACATATCCATGGTGCAGATGCCCAATTAACGAGGGATGAAAGCAATAGAAACGGAGCCATTTACTTACAACTCCTATTACAGAAGGCAGCCAGCCTTTGTATAAAGCCCGAGGACCTTCCTCCTTAAGGACTGTTGAGAGAGCATGAGCAATTCCTCTATACTGGCGAGGAGACTTGTCTGTCTGAAAGTATTCATATAGACAATCTTAAGCCATCTAAGTGATAAGACGACAAAGGGTTTCACACATTCACAAAGAGTGCATATATAGCTCACAGCACCTGGACAGTTAGCCGACCACGAACCATATCCATTGGGTAAGTTGCTGACATGGCAATAATTCCAGCACATGCACCAGCTCCAAGACGCAGCAGAGGAGTAAGCTGAGCATCATCTGCAAGAGGGAAACTAATATGTGATGCTTGTAGAGCTGGAAATTAATTGACCTCGATGGATATAATTTAAAAGCCAACAAAAAAAAAAAAAAAAAGCTTTGCTAAAGATAATCCCCGTGTTCAGTGCAACTCAATCGATGACATATGCTGTGTATGTGCACACATGATAAGACACGCAATAATGCATGCATAAACTCAGCATCACTCTCACCGAAATGAAAATCAGGATAAGAATTCCATGTGAATAGTAATGAAAAGTTGAAAGATAGCAAATGGATTTCAACAGTAAAGGAAGTTCACAAATACAATAGAGTAATATATAGAGGGGAATAGATGGACAGCCATACCATTTCCAGTTTGCTGCCTATAAAGCCATAATATTCCCCTGTTTACAGAAAAAAGAGCAAAACACAGAAAATTTTATGTAGGCAGACTAACATGTAGAAATGAATGCTGCAGGAAGCTGATAAATAGCAAATTAAAGAGAATGAGGTGCCAAAACATACTTGGATGCTTCCTCGTAACTAAAGAACTTGACTGCTGAATTTGGGACAATTCGAGCACAATTAGTGCCGTTGCCTTTAAACATCCCTCTAAAGCCCTCGGTTCTCCATATGTATTTCAAACCCTGAATCGTTCCATTGTATTTTATACTGTGAGGATTTTGAACCTGCATATGCCAAAAGTAAAACCATCACTCTAGTTAAACAGAAAGAGTCATACATGCAGCATGATTATGGCGAAAGTCTAAAATTAATAATAAATTCAGCATGCGATGTAATTGTCCATGATACAGAAAGTCAGAACTAAATGGCTAAATAATAATTTAAAAAAACCACCTGCAGTAGAATTTTTAGTCTTTCTAAAGGAGCAACAGCTGTACGTGACCTGAAACAGATAGCAAATATAATGTCTTCAGTATGGAAAATGCTCGCCCAAGTGTGGTGTGAGAAAAGATGAAAATTCAATTGCTAATGTATAGTGATGACAGCAATTATTCGTATCATATAGAGGCAGTAGTACAAATTAATCGATTCGAACATCTTCAATTGCACAACATGAACATAACCTTCTGAAAAATGATCATAAATATTAGACAGCTATTCCTTAACTTATCTTCAATGATTGCCACCTTTATTTTCATAAGGATGCCCTCAATCATTTCTGTGTTGTTGCTAATCTATGGTCATTCTACATAAATGCTGTTTATTCACCACCCATGACCCAAAACTCGCTACCACAGACCAAAGCCAATCTAAACCTAGTTTAACAGTTAAGAAAAGTAGCAGTATACCAAATTTTCTCACTCGTCAACCAAAAAAAATGATTGGTGATGTCAAAACCAGGTTTCTTTTGCACTTGGAGTTGTATATAACTAAACTATTTCTCAGTATTTTCAATGATCCCGATGAATTAACAAGTAATACCTAAGCAGAAAAGTTAAAATATCTGAAAACCAAGGACTTCGCTAACCATACACAACTTTGTTATACACCTTAGCACTTGCCACTAATATCCAACATAGCATCAATGAACACTCAAAATTAACATTTTCACAAGCCTATCATACTACAAAAAATCAAACCTTTATCTTTTAAAGGGAGAAAAAAAAACCTGTCAAATTTTCAAAATAGGCAACCTTTTATTTTTAAAGTCAGTTTTTTTTTTAACATATTTTAATGCACAACCCAAAAACACTACGCGGGTTTTTACTTTTTCAAGGAAGAAGAAAAGCAAAACATAACAGTGAAAAAAAAGTCCCTTTACTGCTAATTGTACTAATTATGTTATTCCCAAAAAACCCATCACCTCTCTCACAAAGGTTATAATAAATAACAATCGGTACTTAATGATTTTTTTTTTTTTAAAAAAAGGAACCATCAATATTATCCTAAAAATTAATAAAAATCAAAATCATTTGAATAAAAAAAATAAAAAGTTTCATTCTTTAATACAATAATCAATAAAACACTAAAAACATAAAAAAAAAAATAACAAGAACTTACACTCCACCGGCGACGCCTCCGGCGACAAGAGACTTGCAGATACTAAGAAGGGCAGGTCCCGGTGCTTTAACGCCTTCACGGGCAAGCTTAGCCTCTTCAGCGAGATTCACGATGGTAGAAACAGCAGACTCGCTTGTTTTCACGTCCTCTGATGCCATCACCGGAACCCTAGAAAAGCGGTCAAATTCCGGCGTTGACTGGTGTGATTATTTATATTGATTAATTTGGCGAGGGTTTAGTTAGCTTGCATTTGCTAATAAAGTGAGACGGAGGCGTTCGTTTTGAGTGAGAAAACGAGAGAAGCGAGGAATCGAAGGAAGTTCATTTTATATGGTCCCTAACCATTATGTCCTTTCATTGTTTTTAGGGTTAACGGTACATTTGGTCCCTTCCTCTTAATTTTATATCAACTTGGTATCCTCATTTTTTTCCCCGCCCTTATCTTCAAATATCATCTCCTATCTCAATCGATAAAGTGAAATTTTATGGTTGCAATGATCTATTAAAAAATTGACAAAAGAAACTGAAGTATGGTCTGTAAAAACTGGAACAATAATATCATAGTTATTCATATAACATCTCAATAGATAAATCTATTTTTGTATTTTTATAATACCATAGTTATACAACAAATTCTGATAAATTTTCGTATTAAACTATTAAAATTAGTCACCTAATTTTCATATTAAAATCTTTCATTTAGATAACATGCATTTTCATATGCATTTAGAGACACACAGAATATTATATATATATCGATAAGATCGTACTGACAAAAAGTTGTGTTGTATAATACAACCTATGGTAAATTACGATAATTTTATTAATTTAATTTATCAGTGCATGCATTAAAATGGTTGTCTTATCGTATATATCATTTTCAAATATAAGGTAGAATATATTCATGCTTTTGTTGTGGTATACTTTTCGTTGCTTTAAAACACTTTATACCATTTTGGAGGTTGAGTGGGTCTTCTATAATCATTTTGTTTTTCGAGGCTTTTGAAGAAATTAAGTAATTCCTAAGCCTGCAACTACTGCCTTTTTTTTTTTCTTCGAATGAAAAGTAAAGAAACTAGTTTCATTTCTTATAGCACAGTCTTCTTCGTCAGAGATGTTTTTGATTACGAGTTCAAGACTACCTTGTCAATTCAAAAATTTTGAGTGAACCTAGAATTCCAAAAACTTTAGGCCTCGAAAATGAGATATTTCGATTAAATTGAAAATATTTTGCACATTATAAAATATAAAACATACTTAGAACATGTTATGTAATCCCCTAAAATAGTTAACTTCGATACAGACATAAGGAATAATTTTTTTTTTTTTAATGAATATACTAGCTGAGATATGAATGATTTATTCTGCAAAATCAATCCAAAAATATTATTAAAACAAAATAAAACTATAGAAATTTTGCATATTATACCTCATCACATAAGATTGATACAATCTCGTATTAGTATACACAAACCTCTCATCTTACAGGAAAACTATATAATGATGACGAATGAAAGTCCTTCCATTTATGTTTTGAAGGAAAAATAAGTTGGTTTTTAATTACCATCTAGTATACTTCAACTCAGTGATGCTTAGCTCCTAACCAAGATCTTGAATTTGATCAAAATTAGGATCATCGATAATATTGCTGACCCGGTAACGTGGAAAGAAACTTTTTCTGTTTATGAATTGTCCATAACGTCAACATCGATGATGAGACAAAAGTAGTCGGTCTTTTGATGCTTCAGCATCCACAAATTTTGTGGGTTGTCAACGTTAGATCGAAGACAGCACACCTGGCCTGAAACGCTAATGACAAGAACTCTCTCCAATTTTCTGTGGATGCCAACACTTCCTGTCCATCCAAGAATCCCGGGTAGTAATTAAAGAAAACCAGCATTGCCTCTCTTGATTTTCATAATAAAAGTCACAAGGTATGACCTTGTAATGTCCTAGGCGTGGTCCTTATTTTCTTGCTTTTTTACCAATCAAGAAGTCTGAACAAAGGATATATGGATGGGCAATTTGTAGGTTCGAAAGATAGAGAATTAATAAATTTCTAAAACTCAAATAAAATTTTCTAAATAATTTAACGTTATAAATTTCAATACTATTCATTTTATCTTGTCCCAAAACTGAAGGACCAAATTGTGCCTATTACTCATGCAATCATTTGAAGATTGTAAAGGCAAAAACATAAAACAATAATGGTAATATGTCTATTTATTATTTAAAGACTTGTTTGCATAAATATAAAAGTTTAGGACCAAAATATAACTGTGCGTTTACATGTTGCTACTAAATATGGTTGCATAAATGATGATTATTTTAGTTTTTTTACTCACGCTACGCTACGGATCAAATAAAACACATAAACTTATTTTTAAAAAATTATTTTATTTGATTTTTTGTGTCATATTGTGTATATACCAAAATATATCAAATAAAAACTAAATAAAAATTCATTCAATTTTTTAATCAAAATTTTAGATTTGACTAATTATTTTTTATATTTTATATAAATTTTTGAAACATTATTTATTTATCTCTATCCACAAACTAAAAAATTATAATAGTATAAAAAATGTCAAAATCAATGGATTCTTAGTTAAAAAATTATTTTTAAATTATTTTTTCTAAACATTTTTTTGCCTTAAAAATTTTAATTAAAAAAGAGAAAAAAAAGGACCAATGTGATCAAATTGAAAAAAGAGAGACCAAAATGAAAAAAAATATTTATGGACTAAAAAATATTTAAAAATGAAGGACTAAAATGTAATGTCATGAAAATTTTTATAATAAATGTCTTTAAAATGTTTAAAAATTACAAAAATACTACTCGTATAATGAAAAAAATAATACATTTGAGTCTTGTTAAATAGTTAAAATCAATCCGATAAACAATGTTTCAAATAGTATTGTGAATGATAACTTATAGGTCATAACTTTATTTATTTCTTATTTTTTGTTAATATTTTTTCCCATGAAAAGTAACCGAATCCCTTCCCGGTCATAAGTTGATTCGAACTACCTCACTATGTGGTTGGCATCCGAAGGCGTCGATGGCTCATAAATATTATTGCTTACCCCTTTTCCCTTTTTTTCCCTTTATCATCAAATATTATTGGTCACTTATTGCCCTATCCAACCTCTCTTTTCTTTTCACTTGTTCCATGGCTAAGACTAAATATGAGTGGTCGAGAATTAATTATTCATATAGATTAAGGATCTTTTTTTAACCCCGAGATGTTTATAATTAAAATACTTATTAGCATCCTTTTGCTATCCCAATTTAGATGCTTAGGATTAAAAAATCAACTAATTTTTTGTCTTTTACTTTGATTTTCTTCATTTTCGAGTGGAATTTTCTAATTCCTAAGAAAATTGCACTTCTCTCTATTTTATGGCTTTGTATGTATATTTTCTTTGAAAAAAAAAGGAAAAAAATTAAGTAATATATTAAAATAGAGTGGGAAAACACTATTGCATACACCGTAATCAACACTATTTTTCTACATATAACTATATTGTGCCCTAAAACACATATGTCTTCTTGTTTTTACTATTCGAGCCTTTTTTCCTTCCTTTCATGTGTGCAATCAAGGACATTCACGATAAGCCTCCGGTCCGTTTTCGGTATTCCAAAGAAGAAGAAAGGCCAGTTGGAGCAATTAGTGAAACTTGGAGTGCTTAAAGGCCCAAATTTACTAATCCGTTGTTATTTGTTGTCAATTATTTTTATGTTATTATTGTGTTTCATTTTGAGTTGGCTGCGTTATTTATTAGTGCTATCTAGAAGAATGAGGTGGCAAGGTTGTTAGGTTCTTCTAACAATATTGTTGAGTATATTAAAGGCATGAGTGAGGTAAGAAATCATGTTTTTTATGTTTTTAGTGTAGTGCATTTTGGGACGACGAAGGCACCTTTCGAATGTGTCCCATTTGTTCACTTTTAACATCTTTCTTTTACCATCAATAAAACATTCACCATCAACGACCTCAATTCCTTTTTGGCCTTTCTTTTACATATTGTTATTACTATTCCATTGAGCCGTAACATTTTTGGTATCGGAGTCGGTTATTTGATCCTTAGGAATGCTAGCAACAAGAATGGAATCTAGAGTGAAAAACTTTAAAGAAAAGCTCCCGACCATTGAAAATCGATTGTCAAGTCTAGAATCCTCATTCAACCGGAAAATGGATGAAGTTTTGAGCGCCATCCATAAGAGTACTTCTTCGACAAGAAAGAGTGTGGCCGAGTCGAGCGGAGGTAAAGTGGCAATACCGATAGTGGATTCGGAGATGGAGGAGACTTATTTGATAGAGGAGATGACTACTCATGTTCCCATCTACCATTATAGATATGACAAGAAGTTAGAAATGCCCACTTATGAAGGGGAGGATGATCACCTTGGGTATTTTAGGTTAAGAGATATTTCATGGTGAACAAACTAACCGATGTAGAGAAGTTAGAGGTCTGTAGGGGTTTGTTTTAGAGGATTGGCACTAGCTTGGTTGTAGTGGGAGGAGAATCATCGTCCCTACTAGACATGAGAGGAGTTGAAAACCTTACTCTTATGATGGTTCTTGTTAAAATGAAAGAGGACCTAGTAACAATGTCTCTTATTATTACGACAAACATCAATAGTAGTTTGGTATCGAAAAGATTTTGAAACTCTAACAATACCCTTAAAACACTTAGATAATGACACTCCGGTGACAATATTCATTAATGGATTGGAGGGAGGATTCAAAGTGAACTGTTGAAGTTGACCTATAATGATCCGTTGAAGGTGATGGAATCTATCGAATGGATTGAAGAAGGAAACCTAGTGATGAGACCGACCCAAGAACTCGAACCTAACAAAGCCTTAAAGTAAGCCTAAGCCACTAGGAACCCCATATACATATTTAGCCCGGATAAACACACCACTAGGACCTCTTCAAATCGAGACCAATCTAACTTTAACCCTACAAACTCAAACTCAATTCTCAAACCCGAACATAAACATACATATACCCCTTACAAACATATAATAACCGTCGAGATTCAATCTGAAGAGAGAAAGGATCGTGTTTCAAGTGTGATGAGAAGTATCATATTGAGCACCACTATAAGAATCGTGAGTCGAACGTCTTGGCTATTTTTGATGATAAGAAAGAGGTAAAAAACACAAAGGATGAGGGTGAAAATGAGGCAAATGTCGTTGTTTCAAGTGGGTGAAGTTCAATTGTCGTTAAATTCAATAATCAAACTTACGTCTCCTCACATGATGAAGCTTAAAGGGGGATAAAGGGAATGGAGGTGGTTGTCCTTAGTGACTATAGGGCAACTTATAATTTCATTAGTGAGGAGTTGGTGCGACAATTGGGTATTCCTATCATGAATACGAGCAGGGTATGAAGTTACTTTGGGTATCGATGCGTTGGTGCTAGGGAAGGGAATTTGAAAGAGGATCATGCTAAAGTTGTAAGAGGTTACGGTGATTGAAGATTTTCTACCATTTGATATTAGAAGTTTAAATATCATCTTAAGACTCAAATGGTTATTCTTAGTCCGTCATATCGAATTCGATTAGCATATATTGACAATAAAAATTCCAGTGGAAGGGAAGTAGGTGGTTTTTCAAAGAGATCCTAGTTTGAGTAAGTCGATCACGTTGTTAAAGACCATGATCAAAACCATACGAGTAGGAGGGATAAGGGGTATTGGTGGAGTTGGGTTGCATGACACTCCAAGATGGAGAGAAAGGGGGCTGATTTCGAAAGAGATATGAGAGGTGATTGATAAATTTCAAGGAGTTTTTGAATGGCCGAATGAGTTGCCATCATGGAGAGAAAAGAGCCACGAGGTAAATCTCTAACCGAGAACCGCTCCTATCAATGTAAGATTGTATTGATACTTGCATGCCCAAAAGGATAAAATTGAGAAATTAGTGAGTGAAATGTTAGTGACTAGAATTGTACAATCGTGTGTGAGTCCTTTCTCGGGTTCGGTATTATTGGTGAAAAAAAGATGACAGTGGGAGGTTTTACATAGACAACCGAGCATTAAACATGGCAACGATCCTCGATCATTTTCCCATTCTTACCATAAACGAGCTGGTTGATGAATTACAAAGGGCTTGCCTATTTTCAAATTTTGACCTCAAATTTGAGTACTATCAAATTCGGGTAAAGAAGCGAGGATATGTCGAAGACAACCTTCTTAACTCACGAAGGGCATTATGAATTTCGATAATTCCTTTTGGGTAACAAATGCATTGACAACCTTTCAGTTGATCATGAATTCAATCTTTAAACCAATGTTGAGAAAAGGTGTGTTGGTGTTCTTTGACGACATATTGGTTTATAGTTCGTCATTGCATCAACACAACAACATCCGAGGGAGGTACTGTCCGTTATTAAGGTTAATCATTTATTTGCTAACTTAAAAAAATGTAATTTTTACCAAGATATGATCAAATACTTAAGACATGTTATTACTGTAGAAGAGGTATCGGCTAATCCTAAAAAATCAAGGCCATGGCACGAGTGCCTGATCTCGAAGAACTTGAAGGAATTATGAGGTTTTTTGGGCACGATTGGCTATTATCATTGGTTTGTCAAGGATTATGGTAAGATAGTCACTTTGTTGACTGAATTATCGAAGAAAGATGCATTTTAGTAGGGTGTCGAGGCCACTAGAACAGATCCAAAAATTGAAACAAGCTATGATGGCTATCCCAACTTTAGCTCTACCAGATTTTAGGGAGAATTTTGTTATTGAGATGGATGCTTTAAGGATAGGAATCGAGGTAGTGTTGATGCAAAAAAATCACCCACTTGGGTATTACAATCGAGCTCTCGAGGGGTGAACTCAATTAAAGTCGGTTTATGGATGGGAACTCATGGGTATAACGTTTATGGTGCAAAAATGGCAACACTATTTGCTAGGGAGAAAATTTCTAATTTGGACTGATCAAAGAAGCCTCAAGCATCTCTTTGAAAAAAAAATGGTGTCGGAGGAGAATCAAATATGGTTAACGAGGTTATTGGGATTTGATTTCGAGATTGAGTATAAATCGAGAACGAAAAATAAGGTCACAGATCACTTTGTCTTGATTGCCAACTCTTTTAAACATAGTTGTGGTTCAATGTTTTGAAGTGAAAAAGCATTTTAAAATGGGAAAGCTTGTGAATGAAGTGGAAGGGGACCCAAAATTAGCAGTCATCAAGTTGGCATTGTAGCAGGATCCCGATAGTAAATCGAGTGGAGTTTGAACCAAGGGTAGCTTCGATACAAGAATCTTTAGGTAATCTCTCAAACTTTTTTATTATCGGTATTGCTAGCTAAGTTTAATGGAAGTTTAGTGGGAGAGATTCTGTTTTTTAAAAAACTTATAAGTGGATCATGGTGGGACTTTATTGGGAAGGCATGAAGAATGATATTAAGAAATATATGAAGAGTTGTGAAGTTTATCAATAAAACAAAAGCTTATCCTTATCTCTTGCAAGTCTTTTGCAGCCTTTTTCGATTTTGAAACAAGTCCGAGAAGTTATATCAATGGACTTTATTGAGGGGTTGCCCAAATTAGCGGTGGTTCAATGTTGTGTTGTTAGTGGTGGATCGTTTTAGCAAATATACTCACTTTGTTACCTTAAAACACCCATTTTGGCTTATGATATTATTGAAATCTTTGTGCACCACACTCGTCAAGCTCTATGGATTTCCTAGATCTATTATTTTGGATTGCGATAAGTTATTTATAAGTTCTTTTTGGATTGAATTGTTTCGCCTTCAACAAACACAATCGAAACGTAGCCGACCACCCCAAAATAGATGGTCGGATTGAGGTTGTCAATATGTGTTTTAAGAACTATTTACGCTGTTTTATGCGGACTCAACCAAAGACTTAGAGTTGTTGGTCGCCTTGGTGCGAGTACTAATGTAATATTGTGTTCCACATTCTACTACGCTCACCCCTTCAAAGTGGTGTATTGGCGGGATCCACCACCTTTGTTGTTATTTTCCAGCCACAACACTTTTAATTCGTAAAGGAAGAACGAGTTAAAGGCCGGAGACTCGATGCTTAAAGAGATAAAGGAGTAGTTGCAACTAACCCGATTGAGCATGAAAAAACAAACATATCAACATCGATGAGATGTTGGGTGATTTAGTGTATTTGAAACTTTAACCTTATCGAAGTAAGTCTTTGGCTAGAAAGATAATGAAAAGTTATCACCTCGTTATTTTGGGCCTTATTCGATTATCCTAAAAATTGGTTCGGTGGCTTACAAGCTAACTCTTCTTGATTCAACCTTCATTCACCCCGTGTTTCATGTTTCTCAACTTAAGGTAGATATTGGGGTGGACAAAACTTGTCGTGGACTTCCTCCCACCTTACAAGATGATCTTGAATGAAAGGTGGAACCGGAATCTATTTTGGGTATGTATGTGAGGAATGGAATCAATGTTAGTATAGAAATGTTGATTAAATGGAAAGGTTTGCTTGATTTTGAAGCCTCTTAGGAGCCATATAACAACATTGCTCGAGTAATTTCTCTCCTTTCACCTTATGGACAAGGTGAAACTCATATAGGGAGGTAAGGATAAGTCTCCGGTCCATTTTCAATATTCTAGGAAGAAGAAGAAAGGCCCAGTTGTAGCAATTATTAGAACTCGATGTATTTGAAGGCCTAAATTTATTGATACATTGTCATTTGCTATCAATTATTTTTATGTTGTTATTGTGTTTCATTTTGAGTTGGTCGCTACTGTTTGTTAGTGACATCTAGAAGAATGAGGTGGCAAGGTTGTTAGGATCTTTCTAACAATATTGTTGAGTATATTAAGGGCATGAATGAGGTAAGAGAATCATATTTTTTTATATTTTTGGTATAGTGGGTTTTGAGAGAGCAGGGCACCTCTTGAATGTGTCCTATTTATTCATTGTTAACATTGTTCTTTTACCATCAATAAATCATTCACCATCAACCACCTCAATTCCTTTTTGGCCTTTTTTTTACATATTATTGTTACTATTTCATTGGATCGTAACAATTTATTGTCTTGCCTTTACTTTTTGTTAGTTCTTTTTTTTTTTTTTATGTTATTTAGACTTTTGCTTCTTTTTTGGTGTATTTTTCTCGTTCCACCTATTCTTTCTTTCCTCTTCAAATTTTTTCTTCTAATTTTAGTGGTTTTGTCAACTTGCATTTAATGAGTTGATGCTTAATTTTGTGCTTATTCATCATTTTGGTTAGTGATTTTCTCTCCTACTTCTTTCCTTTGTGGCAATTGCCCTTTTTGCTTTCTTTTTGTCGGTTTTATTTTTTATTTTTAGGTATTCTTTTGATCATTTCTATAGATGTCGTGTTGGGTTTCTTGATTTTCTTGAAATCTTACCAAGCATGCCCATTGTTCTGTGAGGTTCTTGATTTTTAATTTCCATTTAATCATTTTTTGGTTGGGAGTAATGCGTTTTGATGTGGAATTATTCGATTTTAACTTTGTTTTTCAGTTTTTTATCTTTCTTCGGTGGATTCGATCGGCTTTTTATCTCTTTTCAACTAGATAGATTTTTTTTCCCTATTTATTCTTGATCCATGTCACCTATATGTTGTCAAGATTTCTTCAATTTTTTTTCAAATCTTACGAGCACGGTTGATATTTTGAGTGGTTCTTGACATTTAACTTCGATCTAATCATTCTTTGGTTGAGATTATTGCATTTTTTTATGGGATTGTTTGATCTCAACATTGCTTTTTTGAGTTGTGCTCTTTTTTCAACTCGATTGGATTGTTTTTCCTCTCTTCTCAACTAGATGAGTTTTGGGTTTTTTTTCCCTTTATATCACGATGTGTGCCAAATGTTACATTTATTTTTTGCTCGTTGTCGACGTCGACCCCACGAGGAAGGCACAAATAAGGATTCACCACTTAGCTAATCGAAGAGAATTAGAAAATCTTAAACATATTGGTCTACGTGGATATCCGGGTGAATGATCGGTTATGTATGGGAAAGATCTAATATCACCGTCATCCCGTTATACCTAAGGTAGGTCGCATTGTTGCCTATGAACATAAAAATTTAACCGTAACATGTTATGCTTTTATGCCTATTTAAAGGATTTTATTTTTTAAAAAATATGAAACAGAATGGTTTGGATGTAAAACAAGATAGTTTGAGAATTTAGGTTGATCTAAGGCCAATGCTCCTTACCCAAAGAGGAAAGGTGGGAGAAGTTAAAATTTCAGCTTTCTCATTAGTGAACATGACCTATTATCGACAAATAGGTAAGTTCCTAAAAATGGATAACCTTTTATTAGTATGAGTAGCGAGACACTAGCGACTTCACTTACAATAGTGGGAAGTCACCAACAACTTTGAGCCATGGATTTAAGAAGTTACCGAAAACTTCATCACGAAATAAAAAGCCACCGATAACTTTATTTCGCTCAAACGAAGAAGCAAATGATAGATTTAGAACCCATCGATGACTTTGTCACATAAGTGGAAAACCCTTGATGGCTTCATTTCAAGCAAGCATGCAATAAACAAAGTACTTTCGAGATCACTAGTAGCTTTTTCATATAGGTAAAAAGCTATCGATAACTTCATTTAAGTAGAACAAACACATTTTAGACAAGCATATGATAAAATAACATAATTTTCGAACAGCTAGTGGCTTTCTCAAAAAGATGAGAAGCCACCGATAACTTTATTTAAACGAAATAGATGAAAAAAAGCCATCACAACCATTCACAATGTAACATGTTCACAAAGGTTATGACT